AAGGAAGGGAGGGAAGGAGGGAGGAAGGGAGGGAGGGAGGGAGGAAGGAAGGAAGGAAGGAAGGAAGGAAGGAAGGAAGGAAGGAAAAAAGAGAGATGAGGGAGGGAAGAAAAAAGGAAGGAAGGATAGAAGAAAGGAAGGAAAAAAGAGATGAGGGAGGGAGGAAGGGAGGAAGGGAGGAAGGAAAAAAGAGAGATGAGGGAGGGAGGAAAGAAGGATAGAAGGAAGGAAGGAAAGAAGGAAGGAAGGAAGGAAGGAAGGAAAGGAGGGAGGGAGTACCTTCCAATGCTGTCCACCAGTGGTCCAGCCATGAGAGCCCCACAGAAGCCCCCAAATGGGAAAAAGGCGACGGTGAGTCCCCACTGGAACCACAACAAGCTAAGGTCGATGCTGATCACGTTCCTGAACCGGTACGTCTCGTTGAAAAAGTTTTGGATGTACTAAGAGGTAAAGCAGAGCGACACCAGTTGAGGAGTGGGCCTTTCTTTTCTTTAAAAAAAAAACCAAAACCCAAAACACAACGGGACAAGGGAACTTACCTTGGCAGGGTGGAAGATCACAAAAGCGTTGTAACCGTACTGGACAGAGGAGCCAAAGGCAGATATTAGGGTCACCAGGAGAAGGGGTCTGGTGAGCATCTGGGGAGGGAAGGAAGGGCACAGGCCTGGTCAGCTTTTGAGACTTCCGGCCTCCCATCCCAGGTGCCTGCAGAAGTCCCTTGCCAGGCTGGATGCTACTCACCTTTGTCCAAGGAGCAGGAAATAATGGAGGAGGAGGAGGGGGGGGAGGAGGGGGAGGGGGAGGGGGAGGAGGAGGGGGAGGAAGAGGAAGAGGAAGAGGAAGAGGAGGAGGAAGGGATGGAGAAGGAGAAGGAGGAAGAGAGGAAGAGGAGGAGGTCCAGGAGGATGAAGAAGAGGACCAGGAGGAGGACCAGGAGGAGGTGTAGGAGGAGGAGGCAGAGGCGGACATGGAGAAGAAAATGGAGGAGGAGAAGCTGGAGAAGGAGAAGGAGAAATGGAGGAGGAGGAGGCGGAGGCAATGGAAGACGGCGGAGAAGGAGATGGAAGAGAAAATGGAGGAGGAGGAGAAGGACGAGGCTGGAGGAGGAGATAGAAGCATCAATGAAAAATAAAAAAAAATAAAGTAGAAAATAAAATTATAGGAAAGGCCTGGAGACAGGGAGCAGGGGTACGTGGGAAGGGGAACGTGGGGCAGGGCCAACCGCCCTTGGTGCCATCCTCAAAAGTCTGGAGAAGCCCTGGGACCCAACAGAAACGGAGAGCATCTCAACTCTTAATTGGCAAGGATTCCCCTTGGCTGCGTCCTCAGCCACGGAAAAACCCCTCACCTTAGGTTTACGTGATCTCATTCACACACACACACAGAGACACAGACACACACACACCTTTTCTTTCGGCACCTCTTTCACAAACCCGACTTACCCCTCCTGAAACAGCCACATCATCTTCAGCCATTCTTGAATCCACCTCTATAAATCAGACTCAAACCAGCAGACCAAGAACTAGAAGGGGGTGGGTTTAAAAAAAATGTTAAGTTTCCCAACTCCCCAGATCGTCTTGATCCTGGTTATTTGGGGGCTGCCATTTCCAGCATCCCCCAACCAGCCACTACAAAGTCCAGGAGTGTCCAGTAATTTCCAGTAACGGACATTCCAAGTCCTCTCCTAAAGGGGTCCCAACATTTTGGACTCCAACTGTCATCGCCTACAGTTGGTGCTCAGGTGGGGGATTATGGGCATTGGAGCCAGAAGGACACGGAGGCTTCAAAAAGCCGCATTTCTCCTCCTCCTCCTTCTCGCCCCCCCCCGCCCCAATTCTCTGGCCACGACTTAAACATGTACTTTGGGTGGAAAGTATGACCTTAAATTATAATTCGGTTTGGTTTTTACCTGGCTCGCCCCTCTGCATTAAAACCAGGAAAGGGGAAGGCGGCTACTTGAGAAAGAAACCAGGATCATAAGATTTAGGTGCGGGGATGAAGCGGAAACCCAGTTAAAGATCGTTAAACTGAGTTTCAATGGGCCGTTCAAAGCCCCATAGCAGACGGTGGAGACCTAAAACGCTGCCATCTCGTGGCCGTTTTCGGGGTGGCAGCCGCCAAAGAATTTATTCTTTTTCTCAACGGATTCGATTATTATTCACGTTATTTTCTTCAGTATTAACGTTATTAATATTAATATTTCAATAAGAAGCCCCTCCGTGCTGAACAACAGGCACAGACACGGGAATCCAAATTAAACCACGTCAAATTGAGTTAAAATGGGCTGTTCAAAATTAATAGCAGGCTGTAGTGATAGAGAAATACTGCCATCCCGTGGCCATTTTGGGGGGTTGCAATTAACGTTATTTTCACCAACATTAACGTTATTATTAACATTAATATTATTAGGAAGCCTCCTTGCTGAACAACAGTCACAGACACGGGATAACGAACTAAAACATGTTAAAATGAACTGTTCAAAATTACATAGACAGTAGAGACCTAAAACGCTGCCATCTCGTGGCCATTTTCGGGGTTGCAGCCGCCAAAGAATTTATTCTTTTTCTCAAGGGATTCGATTATCATTCACGTTATTTTCTTCAGTGTTAACGTTATTAATATTAATATTTCAATAAGAAGCCCCCCCCCGTGCTGAACAACAAGCACAGACACGGGAATCCAAATTAAACCACGTCAAATTGAGTTAAAATGGACTGTTCAAAATTAATAGCAGGCTTGTAGTGATAAATACTGCCATCCCGTGGCCATTTTTGGGTGTTGCAATTCACGTTATTTTCACTAACATTAACGTTATTATTCATATTAATATTGTATTAGGAACCCATCTCGTGGCCATTTACGGAGTTGCAGCCGCCAAAGAATTTATTCTTTTTCTCAAGGGATTCGATTATTATTCACGTTATTTTATTCTATTAACGTTATTAATATTAATATTTCAATAAGAAGCCCCCCCCCGTGCTGAACAACAGGCCCAGACACGGGAATCCAAATTAAACTACGTCAAATTGAGTTAAAATGGGCTGTTCAAAATTAATAGTAGGCTTTAGTGATAGAAAAATACTGCCATCCCGTGGCCATTTTGGGGGTTGCAATTCACGTTAGTTTCACCAACGTTAACGTTATTATTAATATTAAAATTGTATTAGGAAGCCCCCTTGCTGGACAACAGTCATAGACACGGGATAACGAACTAAAATGTTAAAATGTGCTGTTTAAAATTACATAGACATTAGAGACCTAAAACTCTGCCATCCCGTGGCCATTTACGGAGTTGCAGTCGCCAAAGAATTTATTCTTTTTCTCAAGGGATTCGATTATTATTCATGTTATTTTCTTCAGTATTAACGTTATTAATATTAATATTTCAATAAGAAGCCCCTCCGTGCTGAACAACAGGCACAGACACGGGAATCCAAATTAAACCACGTCAAATTGAGTTAAAATGGGCTGTTCAAAATTAATAGCAGGCTGTAGTGATAGAGAAATACTGCCATCCCGTGGCCATTTTGGGGGGTTGCAATTCACGTTATTTTCACCAATGTTAACGTTATTATTAATATTAAAATAGAAACATAAAACTCTGTCATCTCGTGGCCATTTACGGAGTTGCAGATATCAAAGGATTTATTCTTTTTCACAGGGACCTGATTATTATTCACGTTACTTTGATCATTATTAACCTTGTTAGAAATATTAATCTTTCAATGAAGTGCTTCCATGCTGGAGAAGAAGTAGGAATGCAGAAAACACTGCCCTGCTTGTGTGATTCCTTCTGGCCTTTCTTAAGGCATACTACTATTATTCTTAAAATTGTTTTCCACAATATTTATGCTGTGTTTATAATGTTAATATTGCAATAAAGGATTCAGGGTGCTGGAGAAAAGCTATCAATGCAGAAAACACCACCGTCCTGTGGCGTTGCAGCCATAAAAAGGGAAATTTCCCAAAAATGGAAAATTGGGGAGGGGGGAGACATAAGTGGAATTACAAAGTTGGACCATCTCTTTCTTTAGCAGCGTTTTCAGGCTTTAAGATGCAATGGACTTCAACTCCCAGAATTCCACAGCTAACTGGGAGAACACTGGTTTAGCCGCTGTGCAGCCGCTCCAGTTTGAATCTAGCTTTCCAGCGGCAGTACCAACCACTTTAAAATTTCCAGATGTGAACGCTCAGCACTCCTTGGTGCCCACTCCTCTAGAAGTGCCATTTAGATATCCCAGATGTGCAGGCAGGAGAACACCAAGAGTGAAAAACGATTCGAAAGAAACTCACTCAGCAGAAGAAGAGATCAAAACGTATCTGAAACCAGACAGTAACCTGAGTTACTTTTCATCTGGGTTTGTCCGATAAGGTTGGCCTGAGGTTTGGGTGATACCTCAACCGTTCCCATTTGATTAATTTATTGGGGGGGGGGAGGCAGGCTCAGGCATTCCCCCCAAAAAACCCCCAAAACAATTAATCCACTTACCAGGTCAAAACATCAAGGCTACCGACGGTAATTAATAATCCCATAGATTTTCTTCGGCTTAACGTTCCACTTGGCCTTTAAGATGGCCCATTTTTTTATTATTGCAGGTAATACCCAGCTTACGGCCACCTCTGAGCCCAAAATTTCCGTTCTTAAGTGAGACTTTAAGTGGCTTTTGCCCCATTTTACAACTTTTCTTCCCCATTGACTTTGTCAGAAGGTCGCAAAATGGGATTCCCACAACCTTGGGACGCTGTGACCGTCATAAGTATGAGTCCGTTGCCAAGCATCTGAATTTTGATCACATGGTTATGGGCATGCTGCGAAGGTCGTAACTATGAAAAATGGTCGTTAAGTCACAATGCCGTTGGAACTTTGACGGTCATTCAGCGAAACCGTTGTAAGTTGAGGACTACCTGTATGTTATCAGTGGCTCTCCTCCTAGCTGGTCACAACGATAAGCGCCTTGTTTGTTGGTTTTTCTCTTCTCTCCACTTTCCCCCTTCCTCGCATGCTCTGCTACTTAGGTCCTCAATGGTGCTCCTGACTTATATATACTGTATGGAGAGGGTTTTTTTTTTAAAGTGTTTCCTTGCACAACTTTTGTCACTGTAGCTTCTAAAAAAAAATCAATTAAAAAAAAAAAACGGAAAGGAAGGGCAACACAACAGAAAACGCCCCAATACCTTTATTGCTAGTAGTACTCAGAGCTCCATCGTGAGCCTGCAAGCAAAGATTTGGGTAATGAAATTGCACAAATAGGCGTGGCTCTTCTCCAGGCCACACCCCCTCCTCCGTAGCCATTTTGTGAGAGTACCCAACGCGGATCCAGCAGTGTCCCGGTGCCTAGAACTGGTCTTCCACAGAGATCTGAGTTCTAGCTAGTTATCCCAGAAAAATCTAGGGAAGGAAGAGGCTTAAAATACGTAGTGCCAAATTCTTGGTGGAATGGAAGAGCTGAGATCCAGGGAGAAAGGAGACCTACAAGCAATCCCCCCCAAAAAAAACCATAAAGAAACATTGGACAACACACACGAAAAGGCAGCAATGAGGCATCCCGACAGGCCGCTGTTTGAAAACCAGCTGTCCATTCTTTTAAGTCAGTTCAGCTGCTTTTTTTTTTTTTTTTGCTTTCAATTTCCTTTCACTTCTTTTTGGGCCAACTGGATCTCCATAAATGTTTTGCCTTTGCTTTCTGGAAGCATCTTGAAAAGATAAATGAAGGTGGCCACGCAGAAGGGCCAGTAGACCAGCAGAGAGTAGGGGCCCAGGAGTAACTAGGAAAGGGGCAGAATGACACGGAGAGTTTTTCTAACTTGACAAGACTTCGCGTCGTCCCGTCCCGGCGGAAATGCGACTCCTTCCCACGTTGATTTTTTAAAAATTCGGTTCGATGGCAAATCCGCGAGCTGAACGAATCGGTTGCCCTGGGCCGATCGCGTTCCTTGCCTCTTCTCGTTCCTTCGCCTACGACTACCACCCTCTGGGGTAAACCTGGTTTGTACCTAAGCCCTCAAATGGGTACCGTCACGGGGATTGCAGTCTAGCATCGCAACTCTGAAAACCTCGTGGGAGATTTTGGACCGCGGAGGGCGCCGAGGCTGCCCCAGGATCCCGTAAAGTGGCAAAACCCCCCACCCACCCACCCACGCTCGTACAGGAACGTACCTCCAGCTGGATCAGGATCATCCCAGAGACAAAGCGGCTGAACCACAGGGTGCTGTACCCAATTGTAAAAGCCAAGGCGCGGGTCGACTGCAGGAAAAGCTCTCCCAGAATGACCAAACGGATCGGGCCTGGGAAGAAAGGACTTGACCAGGACGGGATAAGGTCTCCCCTGCCTTTAGCAGAGGGGTTAGACTAGAAGACCTTCTCTGCCAGGTTTTGTTCATTTGCTAGTTTTTGCAGACCCCACTGCTGACTGGGTTTTCGGTATTGCTCAGCCTGTTCACCTACCTGGTCCTATCATATGTCCAATTAAAAAGA